AAAGGAAAGGCGGAGAGAAGAAAAAAGACCGATGATGACAAATATTGGACGGATACTGCGCATAACTCTTCGGAAAGAAGTTGGAAGTGGATTTCTATCAATACTCAAAGACGCTAAGTCAAGCAAGAACCTAGAGGTGAGAAAGAACCAAGGAAGATGGAGATGCGATGAAAGATAAAGCGATACAGTTGAATTGAGGAACGATGCGAGTAGGACTTTGTTGAGCTAAAGACAAATTGATGGGCCAAAAAAAGACGAAAACCGCTGGCAAGATTGTAACAGTTGCACCAGCTGTGGTTTATATGGGTTTAAATGTGACACTGGGAACAACTAAGATTCCAAAGTCCTTCTCTGCCGTCTTCGAAAACGCACCACGAATGCTACTGCTCACAAAAACCCCTGCACCTAGAAAATGACTGCTACTACGTTAAGAATTCTTCGGTAAAGGTTTAACCCGGTACCGATACCCAAGAAAACTGCTTATCAAGTTTCGCGATCAGAACATCTTCACCGCGACACAGATTGCACGTGAAAGACGGCGCTCCATATTCACCCTCAAAAAGTTGCTTTGTTTGAAAAACGTTTCAAGACAGAGATGACACAGTGCTTCGGAGCTCTGCCGTCCTATCTGAGAACGGCAAGACAAGTACTTGAAGTTCTGTGAACAAAAACGAAACGTGTTAGGTCATCCCATTCAAAAGTGCCAAGACATATAGAGGAATGGCAGAAAAGCAAAGGGAATAGAGCAGCGGGCTACTATACCATTTGAAGGCTAGTACCTTTAGCTAATATATACCATTTTCACTTTAAATACACCACTTTTCAAACCAAATTCACCACTCTTTTCAGACCGGGCAGTTCCCACCAGATCACGCCAGACACCACTGAACCCTGCCTCGACGGTCACGCCTACTTGTCAGCGCGGACATAGATTTTCAACACATGGCCGACTCCGCCCAGTCTTTAAAGGGTTTGTTGCGAACTTCGAAATTTCATAACTTTTTCAACTTTTTAATTTCACATCCACTCTTTGCACAGCGAAGATACTCGTAACCGCGCATTCATGCTTCGGCAACTTCGCCAGATTAATTTGTTCCGAGTGACGGACGAGGCCCTAGCATGCAAGCCAAGGCTCTATACTGCCGATCTGCACCATTTTTGAAAAGTGGGCGGGGCTTCTTCAAAGTGGGCGGAGCCTCTCTCAGTGGGCGGGGCTTCGTGGAGCAGTCCAAAATGCAAAAATTTGAAAATATCAAAATTCCGCAAAAAGCAAGTGGGCGTGGCCAAGGGGGCGGAGCCTGAATTGCCGGAGCATGAATGCGCGGTTACGAGTATCTTCGTTGCGCAAAGAGTGGATGTGAAATTAAAAAGTTAGGATTTGGCAAAGTCCGCCATGTGTTGAAAATCTATGTCCGCGCTGACAAGTAGGCGTGACCGTCGAGGCAGGGTTCGCAGTGGTGTCTGGCGTGATCTGGTGGGAACTGCCCGGTCTAAAAGAGTGGTGAATTTGGTTTGAAAAGTGGTGAATTTGCTTTGAAAAGTGGTGAATTTGCTTTGAAAAGTGGTGAATTTGCTTTGAAAAGTGGTGAATTTGCTTTGAAAAGTGGTGAATTTGCTTTGAAAAGTGGTGAATTTAAAGTGAAAATGATATATATTAGCTAAAGGTACCAGCCTTCAAATGGTATCCGCTGCTTTATTCCCTTTACTTCAAACTCTGTTGTTTAGTTCTCTTAGCTGCAGTGTCGATAAATAAGAACGATCTCGAAGAAAACGAGAAAAGAGAAACAGAACGAACTATTAGGTCTTTCCATTCAAAAGTGCCCACGATTTTATTCATATAAAACGAAGAGGAAGATAGATAAAAGATAAATATAGATAGATAGGTAATATTTTGGCTTTGAGTAAGGTAGATCCCTCCTTCACCAATGACCCTCCCAGTGCCCCGAAAACCTCTGGTACCTTCGTTTTTTCAACAAGTGCGAGTAAATTGCTGTTGATGCCAATTTCGGCGAATGACAAAACATTGTAGCGTTTGCCGTCGGAGAGTACCCTCGACTGACCAGAACAGTTGGAATCGAACGGCTTTATGTTGGGCGAATGGGGCGATTGAACCCAGGTCTCAGTATTGTTTGTGTCCCAGCACTGCCCTACAATACAGTTACTCGGGGTCTGGCACTATGACGAGCAACGGTGGCCTTCTTGTAGTTGTGTGGTATCATCCATTTGTCGATCTGATTGCCGAGGAACAGGCAATATACACCGACAGCGACGATTTTATTCTCTGTATAGAGCCGCCTGAAAGCCACAGTGTGGGAATCCTTCGCTATGATGATCATCCACTTGCGCCCACGTAACTCTTCATGGTAGAACTCGGGCGGCTTCTCATCTGCATTCATAATTGACGATTGTGAGTTTTGGCTCGAGGTCCAAGACCACCCATATTTCATCTAAGGCCGGGGTGCGTTTTCACAGTCGTGAATGACATCTCATGCTGAGAACATTACTGCTAGAGGCATAGAATCGGTACTGCGTTCGTGCTTCTACAAGAAAATTAGGTACCCATGCGCACACCCTCTTGACCATCCTCAGTTTATCGGACATAACTCGGGCAGCAGTTGCAGCAGGGATGTCAGTCTCGCGGGGAAGCTCGACAAAGGTCCAGGCTCTGTGATCAGATATTCAGTGCCTGACTTCATCCACCCTTTTTCTTGTGCAGGATGAACATTATGGGACCATCCAGACAACAAATTTTTTCCTCTCTTCCTTCTTCGGGCTCCTGAACCAAACTTTCACCTTGTACTTCAAGAACACCATTATACACAACTACTGGTCCGGTGCCACTCGAAATTGAGCAGCGCACTTTCCTGTTATGACACCTGATTTGAAAAACCGGCGCCGATTTTCACCACTCGGGCTTCTTTTCAATTTCTCGAGAACTTCTTCTGGGGCTAGGTTCGCCAAATTTCACAGATACACAGCTTAAGGTACTAGCTTCCAAATGGTATAGTAGCCCGCTGCTCTATCCCCTTTGCTTTTCTGCCATTCCTCTATATGTAGCGGCACGTTTGAATGGGATGACCTAATAGATATGGCTCAAAGGCAGTTGGCACGATAAATCCCTAAGACGAGTAGGATTAATACGCCTGGCAGGACGGAATTCCACGACTCTGAGCAGGCGCTGCGTAGCGCCTTTTCCAAGGAATGTGCCTTATAAGGCCCTATCAAGCTGCAACATACCGACCCGAACGCCCACCGCGCCCGCCCGCCCACAAATGGACGACCGTACCTGATGCTCGTATTGCTTCATTTGCAAAGTAAAATATGAAGCGAAGGGATTGACATGAAGCGGCCACGATGCTGCATAGATACAGTCCTCATCATTGCGGACCGGTGGGGCGTGGCAGTGCGGCTGCATTTGGTGCGGTTTGGCAAAGTCGTTCTGCACCAGTTTTTGAAGCGAACAAGTGCATTACTGTATTAATATCCTTCGTATTACTCGTTTTCTACCACTTTTTGTCGCATACGCGTTGCAACAAAAAGGCTGAGAACGGCTTCAACAGTGTGCGCACTCCTTCTGGCTGACACGCCCCACCGGTCCGCAATGATGAGGACTGTATGTGAGTACATATGTGCAGCCGTATCTACCGTAGCGGTTATTGGCAAGATGCCTACGGAGAACTCGTCCGAAATTGCTATTCGAGTCATTTAGAACAAAGGCTTTTTTGGCAGGTTCGGTGGCAGACACTAACTATACAGAGACCTGGGCTCAATCGCCCCATCCGCCCAAGATAAAGCCGTTCGATTCCAACTGTTCTGGTCAGTCGAGGGTACTCTCCGACGGCAAACGCTACAATGTTCGCCGAAATTGGCATCAACAGCAATTTACTCGCACTTGTTGAAAAAACGAAGGTACCTAGAGGTTATCGGGGCACTGGGAGCGGGTCATTGGTGAAGGAGGGATCTACCTAACTCAAAGCCAAAATATTACTTTTTATCTATTTTCCTCTTCGTTTTATATGAATAAAATCTTGGGCACTTTTGAATGGGATGACCTAATAGTTCGTTCTGTTTCTCTTTCTCTCGTTTCTTCGAGTTCCTTCTTATTTATCGACACTGCAGCTAACAGAACTACAACAACAGTTTGTTACGTTTTTCGCTCATGCCTCAACGGGTCATCCCCTATTCAACATCCAGGTAAGGCGTAGTCCTGTCCAACAGGGATGCTGGATTCTGCCAGTGGAAGGGATGGAGGTTGAGTTTGGCGCACCACCATTCCTTTCTCTACCACTTGTTGAAACGAGCAAGCTACAACAGTTGGTGAAAAACGGATTGGAACGGCGTCAACGTCCAGCATCCGCAGCGAAAAAGACTGTAAAAATTCAACTCTAAGACGGTTAATTCGATGACACGAGACATAACGTCACCATCCTTCGATCGACGGCCGTGAGAAGTTGGGAAGTAATAGTCATTAAAATTAGCCGAAACGTCTACTAGTTGAAACCAACACTTTATATAATCAACACTTTGTTCTCTTCGGAAACGCGATCACTGAAGGCAAAGTTACGAGGCACCTTATCGTGCTTGGAAGACCAAAGGCGAAACTTTGCATAACCTTCACATCGACCAATTAATTTTACACAGCGCTGTTCGTTTTGATAGTGGCACTTTGCATTGCACCTTCCAGCTGGTGTTTTGATTCTCTCAAGTTAAACGTCCTACCTTGGTGAGACCTTTAGACTCTTGTCAAGAGTAAGTGAAGCTTCTGCTATTGCCAGCCTTGCAGGAGTTACAGGCCCCCACAGCAGGCACTGGCAATGATCGATGAGAACACCAAAATGCCCCCCACTAAGCCGAACTGCGCCTCAGACTCGTCTGGGAAAAGACTGTTTTGAACACCAAGCAGCTCTCACGCTCTCACAAGTCCGGGGACTGATGTACGGAAGCAAAGAACTGATCTACGAAGCTCTATCAATTCGAGTTGCTGGTGGTCTTTTTTTCGCCTAGATTTTTGCAAAAAAAAATGTCAACGAAACGTACAGTTTAAAATCCCATAGTTTTTGACCGCTCAATATGTCGTATAAGCGCAAAAAGTACGCCCGTTTTTGATAGTCCTAGAAAATGTGTTTCATTAAAACATTATATTTATCGAATTGAAGAAAGTAAACAATCACCTACCTTTACTAACGAAATAACGCCTCGAAATGTGAGTCTCCATTGTCTGTTTTCGACGAAGAGTAATTCAACTACGGCAGCGGACAAAGAAAAGTTATCAGCACCAATTATTGAAAATAGCATCTCGTTTTCTTGCCTTTCCAACAACTTCGATCCAGTATTCATCGGCCGTCGCCTCCTCCGCTCTCCTTCTGAAAGCGACAAGGTTGCACATGAGCTTCTGCGAAAGTGAAATTGAGTGTGTAACGCCGTCATATCCGTTCTCTGCCTTCTTGTTGAAGCGCGCATGCGACAAAAAGTGGTAGAAAACGAGTAATACGAACGATATGATACAGTCATATCACTTGCTCGCTTTAACAACTGGTGGAGAACGGTTTGGCACCGCGCCAAACTCATCCCGCCTGACACGCCCAACCGTCCGCAACGAACTACACTATAAGCATCCCAGGGTCATGAAAGTGTACGCAATCGATCTCTGGATGTAGCTTCAGGTGCTGCTGTCTCGCCAGAGCATGAACGTTGCCTCTCCTCACTTCCTGTCCATGGCTTCCGATCGAACTGATCGGCAAGTTAGGCCGCGTTCATACTTCGCGAGTACGCTCGTAGACGCGCTAAAATTGACTCGAACGCAACCGCAGATGGGAATCGATCGGCACAGTTCGCTGGCGTGTTGAGAGAGTATGGGGGAACAGGAGCGTTGTCCGCTTACGCAGTTTGGTTTCGATCGGCGCTGGTCGCCGGAGCATTGGGAGAATGAAGAAGAATGAGAGTACCAGATCGTATGAAGGCAGCGCCTGCACTTCTGTTATCTTATACTCTCCCAAAACACAGCGGCCAGCGCCAATCAATTCCGCAGCGGCTGGTTCCCTCGATGATCAGAGCACTTTTGCAGGTTCAGAGCGTCCACGCGAGTTAGAGCGCGTCGACGTGCGTCATCGCGAAGTTGAACGCTGCCTTAGGTTTGCGGAACTAACGATGGGCGAGCAGTAGCTTCACGCGAAATTAGAAAGCGGTTCCCCAGCGACTTTGCGAACTACTCCCTGATGGTATTAGGTTGTCCGGAAAGTTCTCAGCGTTTTGTGCACCTATTTTTTGTACATTCACTGCTGATTAAAAACTCATTCTGCCTTGCTTCTCAGTAGCACATCCTGTAGAGAATTTCTTGCGCTATCTGATGGTATAATTGCCGTTTCACCATTGCTTGATAAACCCCCTTTTTTCAAGATTTTTTCAAGCATGTGAAAAGAGCACTTCGGACGATTTTTTCTTCGACTATAAATTGGGGCAATCCGCAATCGAAACAGCTCAACAAATTAACCAGGTGTGGGGGCCCAATAGTGCTAGAGAAAGCACTGTGCGGCAATGGCTCAACAAATTTCGTTCTGGAGATTTCAGCCTTGAAGATGAACCTCATAGCGGTCGACCTAAAGACGAGGATTTTAGGGGGATTTTGGAGGCTGACCCATCCCAAACAGTTCGAGAGATAGCAGAAGAGCTAGGCGTTGGCAAATCCACTGTTGCAGATGGTCTGGAACGCATTGGGAAGGTGAAAAAACTCGACAATTGGGTGCCCCACAATCGGAGTGACCGGCAGGAATCTCGAGGTTCCTTCTGCATTGCTTTTGCGCAGCAGAAACGACCTGTTTTTGGACCGAATTGTCACCTGTGATGAAAAATGGGTCATGTATGATAACAGGAGACGTTCCGGACAGTGGTTGGATTTCGACGAACCACCGAGGTAATTTTCAAAGCCGAACCCTCACGAAAAAAAGATTCTGGTCACGGCTTGGTGGTCATCGGCTGGTGTGATCCACTATAACTTTTTATCACCAGGCCAAACCATCACAGCAGAACCCTACTGTGAAGAAATCGACGAATTGTACCGAAAATTTTGTCAGATGCAGCCAACACTTATCAAAAGAAAGGGTCCGATTCCTTTGCATGACAACGCCCGCCCACACGTTTCACAAATCACTATCCATAAATTGAACGAATTGGGGGTTGAAGTTCTACCTCAACCGCCATATTCTTCAGACCTTTCGCCAACCGACTATCACCTTTTCTAACATTTTCAGAACTCCCTTGCTGGAAAATACTTCATCAATCAGGACCAGGCAAAAAAGCCTTAGTGGATTTCGTGAATTTTCGACCACCCAGTTTTTTACTTTGATGGGATTTCTCGACTGCTGTCACATTGGCAAAAGTGTGCTGATTCGAATGGTGCCTATTTCGATTAAATCCGATGAGTATTAAAAAAGTTACGATCGTTTAAAGTGAAACACCCAAAACGCTGAGAACTTTCCGGACAACCTAATATCTATGCTACGGTGAATTTTCTTTGACTCACAAGAAATGTTGAAAGATGCGATTTTTATCCACATTACTTGGTGGATGTGGATTTTTCGTATTTGTTGCAGCCATGGCATCAACCGTTGAAAACTCTAGTACTTTTCATGTTTTGTTAATTCTTGCTCAACGCTTACTGCAACTCATTCAGTATATACATTGCCTGATAAAGTTGATCACGAAGATCGTCTATACTGCAGCTGGAACCTCCCATAGCCACATTTTTGTAGATTCCATCTGGAATGTTTTGATGCCGGAGGACGGCGTCATAATGTTCGTGTCAAACCGATTAAATCTTGTTGCGAATGCCTCTCCCAATCCGCACCACACTGGCCGACAATGATACCTTGTGACAGTTATATAGCACACGCCTGTTCACGAGACCACAGGATACGTGACAGTTCTGAAGCTTGGGACCTTCACGTCCCATAGTAAACGAAACGCCCTAGCCAGTCACCCGGGCTACATAGAACTTCCCTCTTTAGATTTTTTATCCACAACGCTCCACTCAAGGAGCGTTAAGCATGCGACACATACCGAAAGGCCTTGGAATATGCCACAGCATAGGCTGACTAGAAAAAGAAGGAATAGTGAAGGAGAAGTGCTATTCACTTCCTCAGTTACCGCTAGATTGAGGGAGGTAGGAATAAGCACAATCTGCAGTGGAGAACTTCGATGGGGAAGCAACTCGACAATGATAGTGAAATCATACCCCTCTAAAACTTACGTGATTTAAGGGAGTCAAAGGTGAACCAGCTCTGGTACACAAATCAAAAGTCAGTCCCTCATTACTACCAACTGAGTGTAATGCAAGGCCTATAGAAACTGGACTGAAGCAGCTCGCTCAGTCTAGAAATAAAGCAGCACGCAATTATTGTTTGATAACTGCTGTTTAACGCCGCAGTGCGCGATCCGAAAGCTATCACAAGAATGCTGAGTTATGGGCAAAAGTCGGACCACGGACGGGATTCGAACCCGCATCTTCTGCTTACCGGGCAGTTGCGTTCCCTATTACGCTACTTACACTAATTACGGAAACTTTTGACCTCTCAGCTCAATGGCTATTTGTGCCATTGCCTTCGAGCACTCACACGTTCAACGTGATGAGCCGGTTAGCCGATATCGGCAGTGAACCGCAAGGCTGAAGGCTTTTTACAAGTTTCAAGCTGTTATTGTTTGGTAACTGCTGTTTAACGCCGCAGTGCGCGATCCGAAAGTTATCACAAGAATGCTGAGTTGTGGGCAAAAGCAAAGGCAAGCAGAAGATGCGGGTTCGAATCCCGTCCGTGGTCCGACTTTTGCCCACAACTCAGCATTCTTGTGATAACTTTCGTATCGCGCACGCGATGTTTTTGATTACTTGTATGTATGTTCATTGAAGAAACTATGTTTGTAAACAAAAACAGATCACCGAGGGTTGCGTTCATACTTTTCGAGTTCAGCGTTCTTTGTTACTGGACGCCTTCTTTGGACAAAGCAGCCTTGCCTGCAAGCATGGAGGATGACCACTTTTGCAGATCGAAAGTACGTGAGCGAAGCACTACTTGCTCGCTACGGAACCACGGCTCTGTCCAGCTCACTCGCCACGGCGACCCCAAGTTGCGCTTTTAACTGCTACTTGATGGTGTGTATGTATCGCTACTATTGCCTCTTTGAATAGCAAGAAAGGATTGATAAGGACAAAGAGCTCACACCAATAAGTGAGAACTCGTCGCACTTCCTTTCTTCGCCTCATGTACGGAAAAGCACTGTAGCATGGAGATTCTATATGGCAAAATCGAGCGGATCCTTAACATTTTTTTTACCTTTGTGCTACTCAAAATCCTGTCATTAGTTTTTGAGCCGCACAAATCACCATGTTTCACGCGGGGCCTGCCTCCCAAGGAAGGTACAGGAATGGTGAAACTATCTTCGAGAGCGTTCGACCAGGGATCAGAAGCGACTACTAAATACGTCAAATAGTGTTTTTGAAGAATACGGGAGAAGTGCTCCCTAGTTCGCTGCGGGTCGAAGGGGCGTGTCAGACGCCACGACTTTAAACCCATTCTCTGGTAGTTGTTGAAGCGTGTCCGCTACGAGGACAGGTAGAAAACGAGTGGTAACGAGTACGAACAATATGATGCAGTAATGACAGTTGCTGCTTCAATAGCTGAAGGAGTACAGCTTTGGCACTTCGCCGGACTCATCGTGCCTGACGCGTCCTTCGTCTGCGGCGGAACACACTATACGTACAACCGCAAAACGCATTCATCCATTAGAGGTATAAACGCGACCTAACAGGGTTCAGCGAATAACATAATGACGAAGAAGGCGCCCAGCTTAAATGAAAAAAGTCTTAAAATAACTACGAAGACACGATAGTTCCGCATACTCTTCTCAGATCCCTCGGTGTAAAAATTAAGCAAAAATAAATACCTGAATAAGAGTGCGGTACAGCAGATGGCATAGAAGACTGGTAACAAGTTGACATCCTAAATTCAAGGCATATAAAAAAATATTATTAAAAAATCGCAGCGCCCAACGAAAAGCCTGAGAAGAAAAATTGCCAACGGACAAGAATAATTCTGTAAATACGTATTAGGCTTGCGCCCAGCAGGTAAGTAGCACAGGACAAACCAAGACCAAGGACTGGTATTGGAGAATCGCTAAGCACTGCGGAGTAAGAAATAGAGATGAGAATAGCACGGTAAAATAGAGAAACTATAAAGAAAAGAGACATATAAAGAAAGGGCAAATTTGAGGGGTAGTGGTCGACTGAAAAACAGACAAATCGATTGATAATCCACCAACAGACGCACTTATTTTCAAACAAAACCAAAGTACTGCCAATGCTCTGTGGGTTGTTCCAGCAGATCTAGGGTACTTGGAAACTCTATTACATGCACGCGCAAGAAAAATGCGAGTGGGTAGCCGTGGTAACTACCTTGAATTCTTGTGATTCGAAGGAAATGATTCACAGTAAAACGAAATCGATCGGACAAAACACTTTAATGACGAATCATTAGAGACTGTAACTCGCAGTAAGACGCGAAAACATTTACAGCGATGGAAACAAAGAACGCCAGCCGCGCTCTGGAGGATTAAGCAACCATCGAAGTAAAATTCGTACTTGCGAAAGAACTCATAACAAACTGTTTCTATTCACAGAAGGATGGATCCCCATGAATTGAAGGCGATAAACGCTCACTTGCCAAAATGCTCACGTACACAGTAAACTAGTTCAATAGGTCTCTCCAAATGGTGTTGAGTTGACGTGAAAAAGTGAAGAAGTAAGAAGGTACCCTAAAACGAAGATTCCGATCTCCGAAATTCCCGGGTTCGTCTTGCGACCCGGTGCAATTCATCTTTTGTATTCGCTGAACATAGTGGGAAAAAAATTTACGATACCCCTGCCACAAAGCATCGCTCCTTATCTGTTAGCTGTCGCCCAGCTTGCGGAAGCAAAAAACACTATAGGGAAAGTATCAGTCTTATTCGAGCATGCTTTTGAGTTGCTTTCATCGAAAACCTCGACAGAGACCTCTCACTGGTACTACGCAACCTCGTACAACGTCAGGAATGGAAGAGGAGTCCTTTCCGAAAGCACGGCTCGCGATAGCTAGCATTGGAAGTGGTATCCTAATATAGAGGGAACTCGACGGGAGACTCGTCTTCGAAGAGTAAATGCAAAAAAAAACCTTAGAAAGCGCCTTAGAGAGGACCCCTCTATCTTCCAGCAATCGGTCGATAAGTTGAAAAATATCGCCTATTGGGATGAATAATTCAGCTATTCCTCACAAAAGGCCGTGGTGAGCCCCCCCCCTCGCCCTCCCCCGCCTCCTGTTTTCACTACACGGCAGACTTCGAATCAGGAGTCTAGAGGCGCAATCACAGGAAAAGGGGAGGTGTAGTTGAAGCAACTGTATGCATCCACCTACAAATTTACCAGACAAAAATGGCATTAAGTTGGCCAGGGTGGACCACACTACCTTACCCACGCAACATTTTTACATTTCTATGGGTTCCGTTCCGTCGAGGCATTCTTGAGGAGTTTTTTCCTGCGGTTTCTATCAGCCAATTCTTCGAGCCATTCTATGAGCCAATTAGCACCCGCGCTTCATGGAATCAGTGCCATGTCCGTCATACTGCTGTCTTCCTCCGTGCCTTCAACCACGACAGACAATTGTGTCATGAGATGAGAGCACCGTTGGAGCAGAGGCCTACTAGAGTGATAAAAGAACCACCCCTGTCAGCAAGTATGGTCGGTTAAATGTGCTGTTTTTTTTTCTGCCAGAACCACTGCACTTGAGTTGATTTCATACAAGGTACAGAATGAATGAACGGCCTCTCGTGATGATCGGAGTGATTTTCTCTACAAATGCCGGAATTTTTTATTTTTGTTTCCGAAGAATGAGGGCATCGATCAGAGTGGCAGAACGTGTAAGGCAGTTAATGAAATCCCTATATATTTAGTTAAAAGAATAAATTACCCGAAGCCTGAGTAAGCTAACAAGGGGACCTCTTTGTTCAAAACAGTTTTGCAGCACGCTGTAGGGGAGCATACAGGGATCGCAGAAGTGAGGTAACCTGCGCGCTTTTGAGAATGGCAGAGAAGGATTAACAATTATTCGACGATCTAAATGAAGTTGGTAACAAAGTTGCACAATCCAGTACTTTTGTTTTCTGGTGTTGTAAATGTCGGAGCCTTTTTGTCAGAATGTGACCAAAAATCCAAGGCTTTTAACAGCAACGCTTTCTATCACCGACTTTGCCATGACATCGCAGGTCATTTTTCATCCCTCCTTCACCTTCCCAGAATCGCACAGGAGAAAGTAACATTTAGGGTGCATACACCTACAATACTGTTTCAAAAACGCCTTCCATGACTTGAAAAACCCTCCTCGTAAGTCCCCAAAAATCGCCGGATAAGTAGTTCTGAATGACTTGATGAGTTTGTCTTTCAAGTTTATGAAGTAAAACAATAAATTAACAAATCACGCATGGAATGAGTTTTTAATAAAGTTTTGAGCAAAAATAGAATATCTGAAATCGCACGGAGACGCGCTGGGATCTGTTTGATATATAGTTAACGAATAATGGAATCTCGATAAGGCCGGATGTTCGAGAGCGGTGAAAGGCGTGCACCCACAAAAACCAAGTGTTCTCTCGCGGTCAATAGACATCAATTTTCTTTGAGGAAATTAAAACATCTAGAACAGACAGAAGCTGATGTGGTGAAAGATGGCAAATGAAGAAGCACATATTGCCATAATGAAAATTATACACCCACATTTGACCCCGCAGAAAATGCGTGAAGCATGACACGCTCGGTGCGCTGCACATGATTCATTGCAAAAGATGCTTTATTTTGAAGCGATAGCAGAAGCCTTTTCTAAATGGTCTGGGGTTTTGCATTCAGGTATTCAACACAATATAATATAACCTCACAATAAAAGGAAACTCTCACGCCCTCCTAAAGAAAAACCCCTTGGAAGTTACAGAGCTGACAAGGGAATGGTTTGAACTTCCCATGGAACTTTGAATGGAGACCTAGGTACATCGATAGAGCCTCGAATGCTGATTACGAATATGCAGATTAAAAGTGCTACGGGGACCTCCCAGACGAGATCTGGGTGGTCAAAGTTTGAGTTCTGGCTCGTAAGCGCTGCTGATCGATGCCTCGGCAGTGCCACCGTGGCCTCGTGGTAATGGTCTCGCTTTCAAGTCAAACGCATGCGGGTTTGCATCCGGTTGGCGCGAAAATTTTTGCTTCGCTCCCTATAAGAGCTTCAACTCTAATTTTCGAAATTCTTCCGAATTTACGGCCCAGCAGGGCAAGTAGATCAAGTACATCAAGTATATGACGTACGATCTAGTATGGATTTGGTCATATCTGCCCTCTCTGAACATATTACCCATCCGACAATTCAAAGTTTTGCCCAGAATCGCAATTTGGCCAGACGAGCGTTTTTTCGTCGAAGGATGTGATATTCGTGTTCAGGGGGTCGAAATCTCCCATGAACGAATTTCTCGCTAAAACTTTGAATTGTCGGATGGGTAATATGTTCAGAGAGGGCAGATATGACCAAATCCATACTAGATCGAGTACGTCGTATACTTGATGTACTTGATCTACTTGCCCTGCTGGGCCGTAAATTCGGAAGAATTAGAGTTAAAGCTCTTATAGGGAGCGAAGCAAAAATTTTCGCGCCAACCGGATGCAAACCCGCATGCGTTTGACTTGAAAGCGAGACCATTACCACGAGGCCACGGTGGCACTGCCGAGGCATCGATCAGCAGCGCTTACGAGCCAAAACTGGCTTTTCGCAAACTTTGACCACCCAGATCTCGTCTGGGAGGTCCCCGTAGCACTTTTAATCTGCATATTCGTAATCAGCATTCGAGGCTCTATCGATGTACCTAGGTCTCCATTCAAAGTTCCATGGGAAGTTCAAACCATTCCCTTGTTAGAGCGCAGACGACCGGAGTCGTCTAGGGATAGTCTCGCAAAAATGTATAATCTCCACCGCGTTCAGACCTCGCGATCGGTTGCGGTGGAGTCGTGGTCACGCGATTTAGTCGAGCGATCCAATCGCGCTATTGAACCACGCGATCCAACCGCTCGGGTGATCCGCGATCTGAACACACCTATGCCTTAACTAGGCGTAGGGATTCAGAGGCGGTGCCGAGTGCCTCCCTCCTGTTCCTGCTGTTAACAGTCACGATCATTTTAAGAGCGATATATGGTCAGCAAAGAATAACACGTTCAAGGAACCTTAAAAACAATTCCTTGAAAAAGAAATACAATTAGAATGATGTTCTACGAGTAACCCTAAACTATTATTTTAAAATACGAGGGAAAGAATAAATACAAGGAAAACTACTGAAAAATCATGGAAAAGGGAGTAACTCCTCGTCATCAGCCAATGCTCATGAAATCGTGTGTGACTGCCTGAGATTAGAGCCAGATAAGTTCGCACTGAGGAAAAACAAAGATGGAAGAGAGAAGAGAAAAAATTTAGCTAGCCCCCGGTAACATTGCACGGGAAGCACGTCACGCGCACTTCAGTAAAGCCAATGGCAATATTTGATATGGTTATGACCCACTTCAAATAGTACGTTGAGCAAAAAAAGTACGAATACTACCGACATTACACGAAGGGGGGAAACTGTGGCACCTGCAACACGTGTGTCAATATCTTGAGTATACAAATCCAGCGGTGAAATGGTTGCGAAATGTTCAGCTGCTGCAGGAAACGAGCGGTCGGAAATGATATGTAGGCTCACTGCGTCGATAAATTGACGTTACCCGACTTACCCTTGGTTTGACTGACGCACAAATAAAGTGGATGAATCGCACTGAAAGATGCCTTTTCGCTCATCTTATACGACTAGGTAAGGAAGTTTCACAATTTCTTTACACTTATACTACTATGTAAGTGAGTTTCACGACTTGTTACAGTGCAATGTCGGAGGAATCAGCTAAGAGAAGTTACATTTACCGAAGTCGAGGACAGAAAAATCGCGAAAACGACTGGATGCACATGGACTGACCTCTCCCATCTGGGGAATCGGTCAATCGGAGATCAACCCATTTGCACCTAAGAGCGCATTCATACTTCGCGCGATCGGATCGCCCGACTGGATCGCGTGGTTCCGACCGCGGGCGCTCCACCGCCTATCGGTGAACCGCCGAAAAGAATTTAAAGAAATACGACTGGAAGAGAAGTAAAGCAAAACTCAAAAAAGTAACCACTTTCCAGAACGTTTCAGAGAACGCAAGGCATGTGTGCACAGGAAAATATAAGAAAAATTAGCAGGGCATGAACACGGCCCAACTGAATACTGTTGTTACAGCAACTGGCAGTGGAGCGCCCACGGTCGCAATCGTGCGATCCAATCGCGCGATCGCGAAGTATGAATGCGCTCCAGACTGTTTCACACGCAGGGTCGAATAATAGTGCAATAGTGGTGTCGGTGCGACCGCCCCCACACCAAGGGGGGGGGTCTCGAAACTACCCTCTCCCTTCCTCAACAATACCTGCCAATTTGTCACATTTTCCAGTTTCTTACCTGAAACTGTCCGTTCGAACGCGGGGGGGGGGAGAGGGAGGAGGGATGGGGAGGTTATATACCCTCATTCCCCGCTCGACGGAAAAATCACGAAAAGTCAACAACCGGGAAAAATTTTCTGACGCGGCAAATTTCTCCTCGAAGCCACATCGACCCCCTCCCCAGCGGCCAAGTACGAACCCCATGTGTTCCACAGATGCTGTACACTGTTCACACAGTCCCCAATTCAATTAATCGATACGCACTTTTCCTTCTAGCGAATTGCAATCCCCTATTTCGTACAACCTCTGATGTCGCAAGGTATAAGCACAGTCCAATAGCAGATGCTCTTCTTGTGGCCCCAAAAATGATCTGTGACTCGGCACACTTTGCGCGTAAGATGAAAGACCCAACGTACTTTCAAAAAGTCAGTATGAATCTGTGAAATGGCTACTGACCCATTTCAAACGATACTGCCTGACCAAAGAAGGACAAATCGTAACTACCAATGATATTTGCTGACTATTTTTACGCTTCGCTATGATCTCACTTACTAGGGGGAAGGTCGTCAGGTCGAAGTGGCCATTTGTAATGAGATGTAGCTCACTAGACGTGGTTTTGGACGCTGATCTCGAATCTGCCTTCGAAATTTGCAGAGCGATTCTCTGAAAGGAATTATGAAGGTTTGTTAGAATTAAAATGAAGGAAAACGGAGTCGAGCGCGGTTGCCAGCCAATTCGCATGAATAGCCGGGAAGCACCCTTACGTTCAACGGCGGCATGGTGTAGTGGTAATGGTCTTGCTTCGCGGGCATGCCATGAAGGGTTCGAATTTCTGGAAGGGAACTTCTTTTGCATTTTGTGGGGAATGTCTCTTTTAAGTCTAGAAAACACTCAAATGCCAAATGGGTGCCATATTCGTGTTCAGGGAGCAACTACCCTTGGGGACAGGTTTCTAGCCAGATGTGAGGTTTTGACCTAACTTTGAAAAGTGCGGTAGCAGTTGATCGAATGATGGTCACCAATAGTTCCAGGGCCAGTCTCTTGTCGATTGCTTGTCTTTGGACGGAATTTGCTTTTAGATACCAGGAAAACTGGAGCAGTAACAAAATGAATGCGTAAGAAGTGGCAAGACGAGGCTTTGTGCAGGAGAATGTGCAGCTGAATAGGTGTGAACATCAACTGAACTAACCCATGGATGCTTCACTTTTCGAAGTCAGGTCAAAATGCCAGATTTGGCTAGAAACCTCTACCTAGGCGTAGTTCGCCCCCATAAATACGAATATGGCACTCGCTCAGCGCGAAAACGCCTGCACTGCGCGGCACCTGTACATCCAAAAATTCTCCTAGATCATAAGGCACTAAGCGCGCCAGTAAGCGAACGCAAACTGTTTTTCAGGCAAGTCAAGGAGAGCGCTAATGTAGTAGTGACGCCACAACCACTTTTTGCCACGTTTGCGCAAGAAGCAAAAAAGTTAAGCTCAGCAGGGATCCGATCCCACGACCTGTTGCGTGGTAAACGCGGTGGAAAAGCTCCATAACTCCGTTCAGAGAATCGTTCTGCAAATTTCAAAGGCAGATTCGAGATCAGCGTCCAAAACCACGTCTAGTGAGCTACATCTCATTACAAATGGCCACTTCGACCTGACGACCTTCCCTAGTTAGATTCAGCGACAACAACTTATGTACTTGCCGCTTGACAAAGTAAAACTTATGGAAATTGCTAGTCTGAAGCAGTCAAATAATAGCAGGACCGGTCCACGTCGATTCCATTAACAGAGTGCATTCAGACCTGGCGACCCAATCAACTAGACAGAGCGCTCCGAGCGATCCAATCGCGAAGTCTGAATGCGCTCCCACCAATTTCCTCACGTTTTGAATGAATCTTCACCGTTTAAATCTTATAAGTTTCTCTAAACCAAGAGTACATGTGAGCGCAACAATCATAGGTTGATGAATTTTCTCGGAAAGTATAAGAGTTACGTTATTTCTAGACTTTCATTCCAACATAGAAATTTAGTATAGATTAGTTCGCGGATAAAAGGGCGTGTCAGGGATGCGTTTAGGACGGTGCTAAACCCATTCTCCACCAGTTGATGGAGCAAGCAAGCGACAAGAGTGAATCATATCGTTCGTATTACTCATTTTCTACCCCACGTTGCATACCGGCTTCAACAACAGGTAGAGAACGGTTTCGATGCCGTAGCACCCTTCATCCGCAGCGAAATAGAGTATGGCAACATCTCCATCCGTGATCTGATTAGTTAAATAAGTAACTGACAGGCTCTAACGTAGGTGAATGGTGGGGGAGAGCACTCGGCCGGCCTTCATCCCTTCTAAGAAGAATGTTCAAGCTTATAGCACCGATTACAGCCGCCGGAGGATAAAACTGCAGAGAACACAGAGGCTCCACTAATGAGCCTTGATCACGGGAAGGGATACGAAGGCGCTTTCGAGTCCCCCCCCCCTCCCCCCAAACTAAGATAGCGTTAGTTCATTAACCAATCAATATAGAGAACTCGTCCCTTTGGATCCCTTATAGTTTTCTATTTGACATTTTCGACGGTTACTTAGACCCCTTCACTCATCACTATCCCAATTACCACCTGATATGATTCTGCACCCTGCTATTCGCAGAAGACGAACACCGACGCTACCACAAGATACGCCTAAATACGTCGAACGAAGGTAGTGCAACTCGAGAGCTCGGGCTTAGTCAAACTAATCAGATCACACTGCTGAACGATTCAGCGTAACTAAGGGTCAAAGAGTTTCATGTAGAGAGAATGCCCAGAAACCGGCTCAAAGGACGTTTTAAATAGCGTTGCATGTTGCATGCGGACTTGGAAGATAGTCGCCACCCATCCCGACAGACATTCATACAGAAGAAATGGCGTCACAAATAAGAACAGCGGACCGCGCAAGAGAGCAGGACAAACGCAGAACAGAAGAAGATTATAGAGGGAAATGGATGTATGAGGCTCCATGCACTGAGGTCTTGAGAATTTCGTAAAGTGTAAGTAATCTGTGTAAAGCAAAATTGGCACGTAATACCCACGTGTTTCCACCCGAATCTAATAACTGCGCTTTGATTTTGCGGTTGCAACAAACGATATGCTATTTAGTTTTTACTTTTTTTTCGCTGAGTATTAGGAAAATACTAAATGTATGCACTATTCAACTGTTACTTACCCAATCTCCCGAAAACAGGTCAGTTTTTTATCGGCTTTTTTCCTACAAAGGTGGATTCAGCAGAAAATTCGGTTCCAGGGGTAGTTCGATCTCCTGACTCGAATAAAACATCTGCTTGGCCTCAAACTGTCTCTCTTGATTATATTATGACATCCATTTTTGGCGCTAACGCTAAAGAAGGACATTCAAATCACCTGCGCTCTGCATGGGCCGAGCCTGGATTGAAGGGAACCATTCCTTCTCTCAGGCTCAGCCTCAGTAGAGCACTAAATGGTGCTGGTGTAGGGAAAGGAATCCATATTCGTGATAAGGGTATCAATCAACCCTACTATGCAAGTTTATATTGGCGAAAAATGGTGTGCCCCCAAATGCCTCCAAATTTGTGCACCTAATGGAGCCAAATGGCGCTAGGCCTGAAAATGAATGCCACGCTCGTGACGAGGTAATAAGTCCGGTATGCAATTTCAAACCGATATTGGTGAGGAAAGTTGTGGCATCGAATGGCGCCAGCGTTAAGAAATGTAATCGTGACCACTGTATCTAACCCATATGGGCAAAGTTTCAGCAATTTTTTTCCCAAGTTTCTGGAGTAGCAATAGTTGAATAATGCTGATGATAAAATGTTCTTTTAGGTGAAACTTCCCAGAAAATGATGAGGGGTCACAAACTCGTTAATCATAAAACGATTCACAAAAACGTGAGAAGCAAGATATTTTCTAAGAAAAACGATGTCGACAAGACCTGACTGGGGAGCCAAGTAAAGCACATATAGTGCAGCTTATCAGGAGCAGTGCAAGGCAATAAAATGGTCAATGAGTCACGTCACCAGCTCGCCATAATTCGGCAAACGCGCCGCGATCTTGACTCGACCACATCAGCCACCCGAATCGGTCGATAGCCCATCGAGAGCATGCTGTACGTTGCGTCACAAGACGCTAAACAGCAAGCTTCAACAGTTCAGTGCAAAAAGAACAGCTGACAAGAAAAATCGACTCATCATTTCTTAATACTGTGTGCTCTGCTTATAAATTCGATTAAATACTTGGTGTGATACCATCGCGTTGAGTATCATTCACTCGTTATTTCTTAGGTGGCTGGGTCGGTCCTCTTCTCCGCGATGTCCAAGAAATTCGACAGATTACTGGGTGAGGTTTCTTCTGGATATGGATTCCTTTGCTTCTGTGGCGCCAAACTAGTGTGCTGTTTTTTAAGAGGCCGCCACCGATAGCACAAACCTCGAGCCCAACTGGGATGGAATCATTGCTTGTTTCGACTCGATCAGATCAGGAGAAGTGCCGTGAGTTCTCGCCTTTGTATGGCAGATTGCTATCTTCTGAAGCTTTTATTTGGCTGAATGTAACTTGCGAGTTTTTGTGGGGAAATATTCAGGGCACTAGCCCAGTACAGGTCCACATTTCGATAAGTTACTTGTTTCTCATCAGTGATATGTCATGACGTCGCATTACTTCTCATGACACGTCAATGACGAGAGTACCGCAGAACCGTTGTGGTTTGGAAGGGATTCAACGGTGGATAGTTTCAAATTCCTGCCTAAACCTAGAAGACTCTGGTGTGTGTGATCCGATTCCCTACGGCCGCTCATACTGCGCAACTGAAGGGATTCGGTGAATTGGGAGACTCGGCGTTTCCGGCGATGCCTCGAAGATGGGTGGGTATCGATCGGCGCCGGTCGCTGGCGATTGCGAGATTCAGCGATCTTGCGATTCGGGAAAATGGCCGATTAGGCGATCTGAAAGAGACCTGGCGATCTTGCAGAATGCCGGGTCACCGAGAATGGCAGGATCGTTGAGTCACCAGTCGCTGGATCGCCAAATCTTCTCATTCGCAAGGTGTGAATGCAGCATCATGCAAAAGGTTAGCTGTTCTTGTAAGTAGAAATCGTCAGCAGTATTTCCCTTCATGGGCTGAAGTGTTTCCGGCAGTAGTTTCAGTTCCTCTTCGCAAAAGGCGTTGCTCGCACTCCTTGAAGGGTGCTTCACCTAACCCAGGCTCGCTTTCCCATGTCAATCGGCTCATTAGACGTCATGCGACGTCATGGCATGGCGTAATATTTAGCGAATCCATATGGGAATAGCGGTGAATTTGAAAGAAAGAGAGACAGCACTCTGGAAAGATTAGCTACCATTTCTTTTGATTTATTACCAATTTCACGAGGTTTTTTTGTCATGGTGAAACCATCGATATGCATGACAAATAGTTGTGCCGTCCGGGTGAGTCATCCCTAGACTGGGTGGTATTGTCGTTTAAAAGGTTAATGATAAGACATTGTACTGTAAAGCCTATATGGAGAAGGATAGCTGTTTATTAGAAGGCAAGAATATCGACGAGATGGCAAATTCTGATGTTTCAGTGCAAAAGCTGCTATGGTTGCAATGCGGAAACGAATACAACATGATAATCCGCATGTTGTGATGCATGCACTTCTTGTACTAGACGCCTGTGTCAAGAACTGTGGCCACAAGGTATGGTATCCTTGTTAACTTCTCAACAATCTGCTTAGTGTAGGGCCTTCCGGGTCATAGTCAGTGGGAGAGGATGGGGAGGGGGCAGAGGAGGGCATTTTGCTCTTTAACCAATTTCCATCGGCAGGCTCAGTGATTTACAAGAGCTGAGAAGGCTTCACAGATCTCTGTTTTATGGCTCGACATGACGATGGGAGCGAAATGCCCCCTCCCTGAGCCGAACTGCGCTGAATTTTGAAGTTCAGATTCATGCAGAAATTGCCACAAGAGAATTCATGGAAGAGTTCAAGAACTTGGGAATTGGAAGTCAATACGAAGATGTTTGTGCCTCTTTCCCATAAGTTATTCTCATTACTATCCATTCTTGCCAATTTCATACAGTATGTGAGCTTGTTCAGGTAAAAACGAAGGTTTTGGAAATGCTACAATGCTGGGCTATGGCATTCGCCAATAAACCAGAATATAAAATTGTTGTCGATACTCACAATCTTATGAAGCTAGCTGGTTTCGATTTTCCTTCGATCAAGGAGGCTGACGCGATGTTCACGGCACAGGTAGCCCCTGACTGGCATGACGGTACCGAGTGCTTTCGGTAAGCATTTTTAGCGCCTACAGTCTTGTTCGTTGTGATGGGGCGTCTCAAGGAGAGGGAGGGGCTTGGCGCGGCGCCAACTCGTTTTCTTCCTTCGGCAAACGCCGAGAGTGTGTCGTATGGATCGTTTCGATCCTCTGCCACTAGCTAGTGTCGCGTATCCGCTTCATTACAACTGGTAGAGAAAGGGTTGGCAGTGTGCCAGACCCAGCCTCGCTGACAGGCCTCATCATCTGCAGCGAACAGGACTGTATTTCCCTTCTAAAAGCTTGGAATTCTCAGCAGCTTCCTTGCAGCTGTCGGTCTGAGTTTTCTCTTTTCAACCGTAAACATCACTGTCGCGCATGTGGTCAGATTTTCTGTGATCGCTGTAGCACCAAGGAGATCCCTCTGCCGCAGTTCGGTATCGAGAAAGAGGTAGTGCTTACTCTTCCAATTGCGTTTTTCGTCTAATTAGCTACACTGCAGGTTCGTGTATGCGATGCTTGTTTTGAGAAGATCTCGTCAAAAGCAGCTGAAACAAAAGTGGTGAAGGTTTGTGCTGTCTTCCCAATAAGTTGCAGCTAAGAGGGAATAACGTTTTTTTTTCTAGAATGAGCCTTTGGCTTCTACATCGGTGAAGGAAGACATCTCACAAGCTGAAAAGGAAAAGCTGTTGAAAGAGAAGGAGGAGGAAGATTTAGCCTTGGCATTAGCTATAAGTCAAAGTGAGGCTGAAGCGAAGGTACAATTCTACATTTTTCTGAACGATATCTTCTTTGTTTTGCAAGCCATGCTATTTATTGCTGAACTTACGTAAACGTTCAGTGACGAGCCCTAAGTTAGATCTTTTGATAATTTAGGAGCAAGAACGGCAGAAATCCCTGTACGCAATATATAATGGTGATACCTCGGGAGCTTCTGCAGTAAATGTGAGTCTGGTAGTACATCTGATACCTGCCATTTTCTCTCTTTGCTCTTTTCTCCTTACCATCAGAAGATGATATGTATCATTTATGGTGCCTATTCAGGACGCAGCGTCTCTGTCATCATATAATCCGTCTGAAATGGGATACAAGGGCGCTGCTCCCAGCATCGCAGAATCACCATCCGACAACCTTGCCGCGGATGATCCTCTTGCCAGGTGCTTTGAATTCCTATTTGAGCCACTTTTGTAAATGTGAAAGGTTCAAGCAGGAGACATAGGTCTGGGAAGCGCGTGAAATTAATCAACTGTTGATGCTTAATCACTGTATTTCCAGATATCTCAACAGGGACTACTGGCAACAGCGAAAAGCGGGAGCTTCTGCAAAGGTCAGTACTGTTGTTTTTCTTATTTGTTGACCATTGAATATGCTTTTCCTTCCTGCTTTGGTGGGATGTATGGAGTGTGTTTGTGAAATAAGTTTGGTGACCGCGCGGTTTTCTGCGGTTAACT